GGTTCCTCTTCCGTGGAGTAGTCTGGCTGCAAAATAAAGCTAAGAAAGAGAAAGCATCAAAGAAATCACAGGACACAGGAGGTAATTTTAGAAAGCAGTAATGGGAGGGCTCTTTGACCTGAGGGGTCAAGCTTGCACATGGAAAAAGAGAGTGGGAGCCAGAGTTTGCTTCACTGATGGGGGAAACATCAAAGGTTTTCCACAGAATTTTTTTCACCTATTAAGGTAGGAGGTAGGCTGTCCAGTTTCCAATGGGTTACACCCCAATGACAGTGGGCTTCCTCCAAGAGCGAAGAGAGGTCAGGTGCATTGTGCAACCCATTGAGAGGGAAGGGCCACAAAATGGCTTGCAATGCAAAACCTCACTCTTCCTGGCTCAGGCCAAGTGAAGATGCTCAAATAATTTGTGGGTGGTGTCCCACAGAGGTGTTATAAAATTTTTACTCTGGTGTCGTCTAGCTGGACACACTGCCCAGTCTAACCTGGAACACCAGGAGACCTCCAAGGAACTATCGATTGCCTGTGATTTAACGTTTTTGAGTAAGCACAGTAAATAGTGTTACAGTATTTACACACACACACACACACACTCACACTCACACAGGAAAATACCTCTGTGGACTCCTACTGTCCCTTTTGTCCCAGGTTGAAAACCACTGACCTGCAAGTCCTCCTGGGATTGAGTGTTAGGATGTCAAGTGTGGTGGTCAAGGTTGCCCTCTGGGCTCTCCTACACTGAGTGCCCCAGGCCAATCATGCCTTTTTGTGACTTATTTGAGGCCCAGAGAATGACAGACAGCAGTCCCCAATTTCACTCCTGCCAGGACACACTTGATAGATGGCAATCTGGTGTGAGCTGGATTACTGCGTGAACCCAGATGTTTTAATAGCTGTGTGCGGGAAGCCATCCTTGGAATACATGAGGATCTTCTCTCAGCATGGTAGCCAGGGAGAGAGGGGCCTGGCATTGAGAACTTTCCCTGGCTCTTGAAAAACCAGCTCTACCTCAGAGCAAAGCCTGTCCAAGGAAGGAGGCGTGACCCTTGTTCTTGGAAAGACCCATAGAGCACTCCTAGGCACATACCCACCCTGCTGAGTTGTTTGTCTGCAAATAACAGGAGAGATCTGTGGAGCCAGGTGTCCCTGACTCAGTCAGGCTAGATGAGGGCCCATAGCAGCCCCCTAGCAGCCACCAATCGGCAGGAGACAGGGAAATACCTGGGATGCCAGATGACCCTCCCAGTAGTTTATGGTGGTTGATAACATGATGGGAAACAATGTAGTTCAGCAAGTATTCCCCTTGTGGCTTAAACCAATCAGTTCAAACGAATTCCCCTCTTGTACTGACCAATCACCCTTACCCAACTTGTTCCCGCCAGTGAATGTGCTAATCATGTTTTAGAGTTGTTTTATGATTTTCCCACGGTGTGTGATGATTTGCTAAGAGATGCTATGATGTAGGTGAAGTCCCTGCCTTCCCCAGAGAGTGTATAAAACTGCTGCAAACCCAGGGCTGGGGGCCTCTCAGCATCACCAGTTGCTGTGTGTGTGCGCGTGGGCGCGGAGGACTGAGCTAGCCCCACAATAAACATCTTTTTGCTGCTACATGGATCTTGGTCTCTGGTGGTCTTTTGTGGGTCCCAAATTCTAGCATAACATATAAGGGCTCGTCCGGGATCCCCCTTATAAGCCTACCCAGACACCCCGATCGAGAGGTGCTGAAAACCCGGCCGGTAAGTGAAGGTATTGCTGATCTGTAGTTTTCTGTACTCTGGTTGCCTGCAGGTTCTGGTTCTGTGTTGGGTGGTTGGCAAAAGGTCCAGGTGGACGCAGCTGACAGGGTTTGTGGGAGACGTCCCCAGCCCCTTCTGGGTTCTGAGTGGATTGCCTTTAGTAAAGTATTTTGTGAAGTATTCGGTAAAGTATTTTGTAGCTGACGGATCCTCCGTCCGCCTCTGCTTTTGGTTTGTGGGTAGCAATCCACGACGCGCTGCGAATTCTGGGGTCAGACCCAATCTGAGGGGGATGCTCCCCCAATCTGTTTGTCTGAAGGGAAGGCCCCAGTTGGCTTGGGGCCAGCACTCCATTTCCGTTTTTGTCGACAATCTGAAAAGGGAATCTGTGTCTTTTGTTAAGTGTGATGGCATTGTTTTACTTTGGACAGATGCAGTGTCCCAAATTCCGGTCTGCCTTAGATGTGTGGAGGTAGCTTTAGCTAAATTTTAGCCTAAGAATGTCCCTAGTATGCTTCTCCTGTAAGGGACCAAAAGTCAATAGAACCGCCAGCTTTTCTGTTCTCACCTTTTACACCCCTTTTCTCTGTGTTTTAAAGAACTTTGATAGACTTTACTCCCCTTTGTTAAATGGTGGAAGCAACATTTTCTTTTCTTCCCGTAGTTGGCTTGAGTGCACCCACTGCAGAGGGAAATGCCTGCTGGGGACCTAAGAACTTTGATACCTTGCTTTTCCTTTTTCTCAAAACCCTGTCCTCGTTATTAAATTGGCATTAATTGGCTTCCAGGACAGGAACCGAATTCCCAGTCACAAATTTTGGCACCCCAGAGGGGACTCTAGAGGAGCCCCCCACCACACACACACACACACACACACACACACGCTCTGCTTTCTTGGGGAAGCCCAGCTCTCCAAACAACTGCAAGTGGAGGGTTAACTTTTTGAGAGCCGACTACGGACTAGTGGAAAGTCAGGAGCTATGCCTGGTGCCTGGGGTCGGCGGACCTAACCAGAGGAGCTGATCCTGTAAGTAAAAGGAGGGACGAGGGACTCCCAGCAGCTGCCGAAGCCCCTTTTGCTTTGGGGAACTCCCTCTTCCTTCCCTGCACTGTAGGGATCACTCCACCTCTGTCTGCTTAAAAAGAAGGGGACACTGAATTCGAGCATGACACTCTCCCACAGCAATAGATCGCCCAAAGCACTGGACTTTCCCTCTGCTCCACTAGGAAGGCTCCTCATAGTGTTATGCTCGAATTCGGGACCCCCAAAAGACCACCAGAGACCAAGATGGATGTAAGCAGCAAAGAGGTGTTTATTGCGAGCTAGCTCGGTCCTCCGCACACACAGCAACTGGTGACGCTGAGAGGCCCCGAGCCCAGGGTTTGCAGCAGTTTTATACACTCTCTGGGGAAGGCAGGGACCCACATACATCATAGCATCTCTTAGCAAATCATCACACACCGCGGGAAAATCAAATAACAACTCTAAAACATGATTAGCACATTCACTGGTGGGAACAAGTTGGGTAGGGGTGATTGGTCAGTACAAGAGGGGTATTCGTTTGAACTGGTTGGTTTAAACCACGAGGTGGGTACGTGCTGAACTACATGGTTTCTCAATATAAACTACTAGGGGGTCGCTGGCATCCCAAGTATTTTCCCCTGTCTCATGCTGATTGGTGGCTGCTAGGGGGTTGCTATGGGCCCCCACCTAGCCTGACAGATCAGGGACACCTGGCTCTGCAGATGTCTCCCGCTATTTGTAGATAAACAACTCAGCAGGGTGGGTATGGGCCTAGGAGTGCTCTGTGGGTCTTTCCAAGGACAAGGGTCACGCCCCCTTCCTTGGACAGGCTTTGCTCTGAGGTAGAGGCTGGTTTCTCAATAGTAGCTCTGGAGGTGGGCATAACCCACTAGGAACTGAACAGCCCACTTTTAACCTTTTTTGGAGAAGAACATTCTATAGAATCTCTTTGGTGTTTTCCAATATAAATAAGGCAGATGCAGGCCCCGTTTGGTCCAGATGCTCCATCTGTCTGATCCGCTTGCCTGTCCTGCCCCACTGTTGAAACTACTTTCTGTGTTCTGTGGTTTTTCTGCCATTTTATTTCTCTTAGCTTTTATTTTTCAGCCAGTCTGTTTCACCAAACCCTTTTCCCACCACCCACGTGGGACGTGGGCAGGAGCTGTGTTTTGGTTAGTCTGAGCTGTGGGTTATGTGTAATTTTTGGAGTACTGTCCATAGGTCCATCCACTACTCACTTGCTAAACTTCTGGGCAGCAGAGTGTCTCAATACTGAGCTTAAGAACCATAGTCACAGAGGGCGAGCAGAAGCATATTTACTGCAGCCCACGTTGGGCTGGGAATGATGGTGCCTTGAGAAGTTGCCCCAAGGCCATGACATTTAGCCTGTTGAACAGAAGAGAAGAAACCACAGAGGGTGGATATTAGCACTGAGGCCTCTCAGGAGCTGGGCTAAATGCCCACTGTGTGGATTCTCCCTGATTCTGGCTCTGGCGCGAAGAAATAGTGGGAGACTCGGTTATGTGGCTATTGGCTGGAGGAGAGTGTTTTTCATGGTTTTAAAACGAGCATCTGACTATAGGTACCCCTGTGTCATTTTTTTTTTCACCTTGAGCAGATTCTCCCAAATAGAAGGGTCTGGGAAGCAGAATGTATCCTGATGAGCAGGACAGTGGCTCAGTGTCAGTGGCAAGTGCAGCAGCAGCAGGACCATTGGGTCACCTGTATATTGAAAGCACCCCCCTATGGCTCCCCTCTGGATCTTTCCTTCTCAAAGCCCTCTCCAAAAACTCAGACCCTGGGTCTGTCTGTACAGGAATTTCCCATCTGAATGGCTCACTATGGGGGTCTGCTTAAAGAATCCAGATTAACAAATGCTGAACGTTTTCTCTGAAATAAAGAGGCTGATTCATAGTGGGGTCGGGAGGGGGAGCATGGGAGGATCAGAGGAACTCTAGACAGGGCCGAGGGGTGGGAGGGGAAGGGAGGGGGAAGGGGGTAAGAAAGATGGTGGAATGAGATGGGCATCATGACCCTAATACATGTATGAAGACACGAATGGTGGGACTCTACATTGTGTACAACCAGAGATGAAAAACCGTGCTCTGTATGTGTAATATGAGTTGTAATGCATCCTGCTGTCATATATGACAAATCAGAATAAAAAAGTACATTAAAAAAAAAGGATCCAGGTTAATGTGGGCTCCATGAAGGAATCAACAAATACCCAGAAGTCAGGGCCCAGGGGAGCAGAGCTTTATTTCTGCACTGAGAAGGCTTGGGGAGCAGAGTTTCCCCTTGCTTTCAGGTCTCCTTGATGGAGTACCACAGCCAGGAGGGTCGAGGTTCTCAGCAAGAGGAAGAGCAGATCGCCTGCACAGCCAGTTCAGGAGGAGAGGGAGGAAGCAGCACAAGAGTGAGCCAAGGCATCCGTCTTTCAGGCTGGTCCTTGGCTGTGGTTTCTCAGCTCCTCAAAGGTCGCAGGTCAACTGCAGCCCCCAGAGCCGTGGCAGCCGCTGGAACATCCAGAGGACTCATTCGCACAGCAGTCAGAGTTCTGGGGCCCGGGCAGGTAGACTCCTGGAAGCCGTGGAAACCGGTGAGACCCGAGACAGCAGCCGTGGCCCCCAAACCCAGAAACGCAGCAGGTGGGAGGACAGCTGGAGGAGGCTGGGGCTGGAGAGGGGCAGGGAGCTGGGCCTGAGGCCGGAGCCTGAGGGGCCTGAGGCGGGCACTTGGGTGGACATTTAGGGAGGCTCTTGGCAGAGAGTTGGTACTTCTGCTGGTTTTGCTGGTAGGACATCTTGGAGAAAGTCCAGTTACCCTAAAAATACAGGTTTTTAAAAATTCCAGTGAATATCAATGTTATTTGTATCAATATATTTTTCTGCAGAAACTGAACTTCTGCAGTTAAATCTGCCTCTGGTAGCTGTATCCTGCTGTCCTGGCCCAGGAGAAATCCAGCAGAGGGTAAACCAGAATTTGCTCCCCGCTTCTCCCATCTGGCCTGTTTCTCCTCAGACTCCTGACTGTCAAAGCAGCAGCTTAGGGCCCCGGGTAACTCCCAGTGTCTTACGGGAGCTTTTATCATATTCTCTAATTTATGCATTCACTGCATTTTTATCTCAGGCTCACTGTTATGCCAGCCCTCTCCATCATCTCCTTTTTTTTCTTTCTCTTTCTTGCATCATGGGATCTGCTTATTCCTACGCCTCCGCTTTATGCAGTTGAGTCTTGTCTAAAACAATAGCTTGTACCCATCACCATGACTCTACCACTCCAGTTTCTGGTTTTCATTCACCCCTTCTGGGATGGCAATTTTCAGACCACCTGGAAGATATCCATGCACCTGGTCTTCCTGAAATTACCGGTTAGTTCTCACTGTCTCCGTCCTGGGATGCCTTGTCCCATTGAGCAGAAACATGCCAGCCCCAGCTGTCCCCAAACTGCCATAGCATCAGGAAGCACACTTACCTTGTCTTCCTAACCGTGGGCAGGTGCTGGAACTGAGGAGACCCTATTTATACGTGGGCTCTCCACCCAGCTCAAGGAAGGAGCCACGGAGGGTATGAAAGCTGCTTGCTAACCATGTGTTTGTGACCACAACTTCCCACATTCCTCCAGCTCAGTCATTCTACCACTTTATCACTCTGGGTCACCACCAGATCCTCACGAGTCTGTTCCCAAAGCATCCCTTCCCTCCACAAACCCTAGAGATCTTCCCATAAAGATATAAAGACCATGATTCACAAGGCTGTTTACAGGGGCAGAGGTTGGAGATTGAAATCTAGATTTCTGGAGGAATCCAAAGTATGACCGACCAGCAGGCCACAGAGGCTGCATCAGCCCAGGGCACAGACGGGGTTTCTGTCGGTTTTAGCAACAAATTGGGAACCAATGATCTGAGCACTCATAGGCCACTACTGGGGGCTCATGTGTCTGATTCAGACCCCAAAGTGCCTGACGTGTTGACCAAGGATGGCATCACAGAGAGGAAAGGGTCTAACGCCACTGCTTCCTCTTGACACATGAGCATCTGCACCAGCAGCCGTAAATCCTTACCCTAAGACCACAAGTCCAGGAACCTTTTCCTGTTCACAGCCCCTTCTTTTCAAACCTGCTTGCTTACATTCCCGGGAATCTACTCTCTCCCTGCCCACCAGCCCCCTTCTTTTGTGCCACTCTGTTGAGGGCCACAGCCGAGCCGGGATGACGCATGGCATTTTTGCCAGAAGTAGTGGTTGAGAGGTGATGCTAGTGAGCCATTGAGATGATGACTTTTGAGTTCTGGCGGAGTTCCCCGTTGAGTTCCACTTGAGCTCTTGCGGGGATTCCCGGAGAGTTCCCATTGGTTGGGGAAGTGCCGGAGGAGGGATTTCCGGTTGTTGGCTCCTGGAGGAGCCGCGTGGCGTTAGGGAGAGTTCCCGGGGAGCGTGTGTGAAGTGTGCTGGTGGAGTTCAGAAATAAAGTTTGTTCCTGCTTCAGTGGCTTGTGATATGTGCCCCAGCCAGACTGCGGCACCACTCCCCACCCAATTGGACTTCCTTGGCTCATCATTTCAGTCAATCTGTGGCCAATATCACAACCTTCCTTGCTCCTTTGACTTCAACGCGCCCGACTGACAAAACCCCAACCCTTGTGAAATCCTCCCTACTGTACCCAACTGCTATGAAAATTTTAAAAAATTAAAAAGACTTGGCAGGTTGAAATCATCACTGAATTATGATCCTCCACCTTGGCTGGGCCCCCAATACTACTTCCTTCTAAGCCTTATCTGTCCGTTGCCCCTAGACAGAGGATATGGCTCTACTGCACGGAGCAATAGTGTGAAATGTGAGGTGCTTTGGCTTGAAGCCCACTTTGGGCCTTAACCATCCTTTAAGACTTCCTGGGTTATGAGGGGAGGATCCTTTTCTCTGGATCCTTGTATCTTCAACCTCGATTGTTTTATTTCTTCTACAAAATGCTTCTGTGGTGTCCTGTATTCCTGTAACCCGATGCTCGTGTTTACTTTTCAATAGTTGTCATTCTGGATTGGATGACACTTGGGTGTTCACTGGGTCGCTCTTCGTCCCCAACTTCAGCACAGGTCACCATACTTGGCGTAGTAGAAGGACCCCAAAACTGGTGGTGGACGCTGAAGCCTTTGCTCCTTTCACTCTGAGAGGGAGCTCCTTGGAAGGCCAGGCCCACACAGGTACTGAGGGCAGGTGTGGGAGGCTGCTCCCCGGGGCGCGGTCATTCATGCCGACCAGAAGCCAAAGCATTACAATGCAGCTTTGCAGAGAGCTTGACTCTGGTCTTGGCTGTGCTCGGCTCTCTGGGCTGCAGAGGAGGCTGGACCAGATTTCAAGCCTGTCTGCAAGTCAGTCTACTTTCATTTATGGGCGTCAGACATCTAGGGGGGCTAACACTCATCCCAGTTTGATCTTCTTTCTAAAAATACTTCACTTGGAGGTGGGGTGACTTGATGGAGAGGGGAGAGATGGTGGCTGGTGTGTGAGTAGGTGAGGGCATGAAAGGTCTGAAGGTCAGTCACACCGTGAGGGGGGAACTTCCTATACTGTAGTCTATGCAGTTCATCCCATTTGTTAATGGAAGTCACGTACTTCACATCTGGCTTTGTTGTGTCCAAACCGATTGCTATGAACCTATGTGAGTCTTGCCTGATTGTGCCTCTTGTGACTGGCAGTGTGAGCTATTGGAACCCAAATCTGTAAATATGGTGAAATTCTGTCCCCTTTCCTGCCCTGAGCATACTGAAACACGACGAGTAATCTCAAACGGCGGAAAAACATCATTGTATTATGTGGACACATTACAATCAAGGAATTACTGAAATAATGAAAAAAATCACTTATCCCGACAAAAGCTTTCTTGTAGTGACTTTGGAAACATCACTTTAAGGATATTAATTTGTTTATTGAGTGCCTACTGGATGCAGGGTTTTGTGAATTCAAAGAGTATTATATTTCTTTGATCTGAGGGAATGGTATGAATTGAGGTGTGGGAGGCCAACCTTACATGTGACTGAGTTACACTCCCTGGCTGGGTGCTGAGGCGCTCAGTAGCAGAAATGTGACACCCTTCTTGGGTTCGAGGGTTGGTGTCTCGTGCATGGGTGTGTCTTGCTACAGCCCCATGGGTGAAGCTACGCTCACCTGTTCCTTTGTAATATACCCCTTGCCCTGTTTAGGATAGAATCTTCCATGGAAGTGCCTTGTGTGTGTCCCCTTCTCTTACTGTGCCCTTGGGTGTGGCCTACCCAGGTGTCAGTCAACCTGCTGACAGTGGACATCATGAAGATAGACTCAGCCCCCTGAAACCTGACCCCTTGCCTCATTTGAATAGCTTCTCCTCAATAAAAGGGGTCAGCGTGTGCTCTTGCTCTCCGTTCCTGTGGACCCTTAAGGTCAGAGGAGCCGTCACAGCAACCCCAAAGAAAAAGGTATTTGTGGCTCTTGCGTGGTTATTTCGTGCAGCCCAGTCAGCCCAGTTCAACTGGAGTGACCCCTGAGCCTTTTAGTCATGAGATCAGAAACCCGGCATTGAGGGAAGGAAGAAGAGCATTAACACTTATCCTCAACCCCTCATCCATCAAATATGTTTGCATCATCATGCAGTATTGCACACTGGCCCTCCGAGCCTCTTATGGTTAATCACATTAACAGATGAAAAGTGTCTCAGACTCAGACACATCAGAATATCCATGATTCCAGTGCCTGGGCCCTGATTCCAGACCCATGTGCTTCCAGATTTTATGTGACGTGAAGACGTGGAGCCAATGCAGAGAACCAAGGAACGGGAAGCAGCCTGGAGGGGGCGGGTGCCCGAGGACAGCGGTGCCTGCTCTCTGGTGGTGTGTCTGTGGAGGGAGAGTCTCCGGGAGCTGGCCAGGCAGTGACGGGGAAGGGCATTCTGGGCAGAGACGGGAATGAGCGTAGTCTGTTCTGGAAGCAGAGAGTGCCCATAATACTGGGTGCATAAGAATAAGAGATGGGACACTGGTTGACAGAAAGGAAGGAGGGAACCCAAACATAAAGAGCTATCCTTGCTGGGTTGGGTGATTTTAGCCTATAGTTTCATGGCTTCCAAATTATATTCCTTTGAACCTGCTGCCAAAGGAGGCTCAACTTCAGCCCTTCTGACAGCCACACCTACAGACAACAGGATTCACTGCCCCGGATCAATCAGTAGGATTCCCCCTCCTTGCCTGCACCATGGACTATCGATTAGCCTTCCCGTCTTTAGTCTTTATGTGGTGTAAAAGCTGAAAGAATAAGGATCTCAGAGTCAGTGCACTGGTATTTGAATCATGGGCGTGTTATTTAATGTGTTTTGAGCTTTGCTTTTTATTAATCTGTAAAATGAGATGAACAATAAGAACATATAGACCTTTTGTATTACATAATGCAAATAGTTTTTGTCAGATAGTAGATGGAAAATAAATTTTAATTTCCTTCTTTTTCTCATGTCATCTTTTTATTGGTTGTTTTTAGATGTACATGACAGGAGGGTGTATTTTGACATATTTTACATACATGGGGTGCAACCCATTACTATTTTGATCCCATTCTTGTGGTTGAACATGATGTGGCATTACACTGACATGTGTTGCTATTTGAGCATAGGAAGTTATGCCCAGTTCATTCTCCTGTCTTTCCTATTCCCATCCCCATTGCCTTCCCTCATTCCCCTTGGTCTGATCCAATGAACGTCTATACTTTTCTGCTTTCCTCATATCATCTCATAGGAGAGTCCCACAAACTTACGTTCTATTTTAACATACCACAATTTTTAATGTTTGACTATTCAGACAACCTAGAAGGGGGAGCCCCAGAAGACGAGAGTCTGGGTTGGCTTCCTCTCTGCTGCAATCAGAGTAATTATAGCTCTACTTGTTTTATGCATTGAA